CTGTAAAGGCCCGAGCCAAAAGCACGGGTTGAGCAAAATTTTTTTGACCGAGCTTTTGCTCGGCCCGGCTCGGGCTCGGAAAAAAGCCCGCTCATTTTATCAGAACCGAGCCCGAGCCTCAAATTTTGGCTCGCGAGCCAGCTCGACTCGGCTCGTTGACATCCTTACCTGTCACCTAATTTAGATTGTATTGTGAGACGGATCAAGACACACGTATACAAAGTTATGTTCTCTTTGAATCCAGATGTCTTGATCCATTTCGAGTCTTTAGTGTCGGGTCATTGATTTTCATTGCACTTCACTTATTTTTGTTTTACCCGGGTATGCTCAAAGTAATTGTTTGTGATATTGGCTTTTGATTTGCCCGGAAATGCCCTGTATATTTTTATATGGAACATTTTTTATCAATGATATTTACATTTACAGATCGAAAAAAAAAAAAGCAAGAGAGGAGCTATACTAATTCTGATAAAGTGCAACTTGATCGATAGATTAAATAAGCAACAACAAACAACATCAAGAAATACCAGTCCAAATCCAAAGTATAACAAGGTAATTTTTTAATATTCAACAACTAGAATCATTTTACAGATGAAAATTTCCATTTACTGCCACCGCTAGATTCCACTTTTGCGGCAACAACAGGTACAGTGTCCATCATGACCTTTGGGATGAAGAAACTGAAATCTGTGGTAGACAAATCCTTGTACTCTGGATTTTCTTTCAGAAATGATGCAACTTTAGTTCCTGCCCTAAATTTCCTCCCATTGGGAGCAAAATAGTAACAATCAAGTTTTAAAAAATCTTTCCTTAGCACCAAATCTCTATGGAATCCTGGAGGGGTTTTGGGCAGATTTGGCTTGTCAATGACCCATACACGTGAGTTATCATACTCCATATCCGTAGGATCGTTGCAAGAGACATTGGATTTTTTACTGCAGACAAATGGATCTTCGACTATTTTTTTCTGATTTCCTCGTACTCTTCTTGGGTTGGTATTATCCTCCACTTCAGGCAATCCTCACATTGCACACTCCAAACATCAATAGAGCTGCGAGATGCTGCCATGCGAGTCACCCTTGAATGCTGAAACAATAGGCAAAATTTCAATAATATATAAATGATCGAACTGATTAATCTATACGTTTTTTGTTGGGAGAATTCATAAAACTTGCAGCTTCAGTAAGGGTTGGAAAAACAAATAGTATCCACTATTAGATTAGAAGCAGCCCACCAAGAGAATAAGAAAACGAAACAAAATACTGCAAGAAAAATCTCTTCTGAAATCAGTTAGTATTAAATAAAAAATGAAATAAGCAATTACATGTTGCTTTTCTGATACACAGATGGATGTATATATTTACATATGTCAAATATCAAGAGAAATGTACTAAGGTTTAGCAACAAGACTCGTAAACCCACAAAGAAAAGAAGAATAAACATGATGCTGACTGGAAAATGTCTATAAAAAGTGTTAAGATTTGGGGTCCACCTTAATAAAGTCAAACTTATTAAGAGGAGAGACCAAAGATCTATTTAAATTGATCAATATTTCGGTATTTAACCGATGTTAGATTTATTTCCTTAACATGTCCCCGCAAGATGTTGGCTCTTTTTTTTAGCTGACCAATCTTGAAATTCGTGTACTCATTTTTTAGACTTAATCGGATCGAATAGCTCGTTGGAGCATACTGGACTCTGATACCATTTTAAAATTTGGGGACCAACTTAAATAGATTTTGGGCCGCTCCTCTTAATAAGGTTGACCTTATTAAGATGGATCTCAAATTTTAACATGGTATCAGAGCCCAGTAAGCTCCAACGAGCTATTCGATCCGATTAAATCTAAAAAATGAGCGCACGAATTTCAAGATTGGTCTGCTAAAAAAGAGTCACCATCTTGCGGGGGCATATTAAGGGAATAAATCCCACATCGGTTAAATACCGAAATATTGACCAACTTAAATAGATTTTGGACAACTCCTCTTAATAGATTTTGGACAACTCCTCTTAATCTATTAAGAGGAGTTGTCCAAAATCTATTTAAGTTGGTTAATATTTCGGTATTTAACCGATGTGGGATTTATTCCATTAACAAAAAGTAATTTTTTTCATAACTACATCTGAATTTATACATTAAGAGGAGTTGTCCAAAATCTATTTAAGTTGGTCAATATTTCGGTATTTAACCGATATGGGATTTATTCCATTAACAAAAAGTAATTTTTTCATAACTACATCTGAATTTATACATTTGTATGTACTAACTTTAAGACATAAACAAGATGCTGATAGGAAAATCTCCATAAAAAATAAATTGTTTCGTATACATTTGAATTTATTTGTTTGTATATACTAAAATCAAAACAAATCCCTTAGGGTATAAAAACAAGACCACAAACAAAAAAAAAATATATATATATATATATATATATAATTTGTAAAGTCCCTGTGAACCCAAACAAAAAAAAAAAATATATATATATATATATATATAATCAAGGAAACAAGATTCTGACTCTCTCTTCGAAAACATCAATTACTGTACAAAATTAAACAGGAGAATTATTTTAACGGTGCAGTACATATAAATATAATCATATAAACAACAAGAAGGATACCTTCATCAGTGTTTTCTCTGCCTTGATCTCCATCGTCGAACTGTCTAAATTTTCTCTTCTATCTCGATCGGTCTTCTACTCTCTTCACTCCATGGGCTCGCTATATATGGGCTATTGCATCCAGGAGATTATATAGAATGCTTATTACATGTTCAAGGAGTTGACTTTCTACAAATTGCTAAAAAGTATCCCTAGTTCAAATTATGTTCGTTCAGCCCCTATATTTTAGCGGGTAAAGATATTTGGCCAGGGCCACGAGGGTGCCATTTGGTGCCCTCCTATTGGTTTGGGGTGTCCGTGAGCCCATGTGGCCCTGGGCATCAAGCTCGATTCTATTTTAGCAATCCAATTTTGGTCGCAAAGTGTTTTACATGACTAAATAAATTCTCATAAAATACATTGATAATAAAAAGAACAGCCCAATTTCAAATAGAGAAATGCCTCCTGCACAGGCCCTGTACAGGGCATCTCACGTGGGGGGTAGACCTCATATGTGGGGTCCACCCCATGTGCACAGAGCCTGTGCAGGCAGCATTTCTCTTTCAAATATATGTTGAAACCAGTAAATAAACCGTGTTCTTGTGAACTGCCATGCAAAAAATAGGTCATCGACGTGAACAATAAAAATCTTTTTTCAATTCCATTCAGAATGATGGTTCAAGGCCCTTTTGATGAAGAGTAATATCATTTAATCTCACTGTGATTATAACCTTAATTTAAGTGGCGTTAATGTAGCATTAAATGATAAGTAGAATAAAATAAATCATTTAATTTCAACTTTCATTTAGTCTATTATCTAGCGCCACCTAGACTGGGGTTGTAACCCCAATAGGATTGCATAACATTATTCTCGGATTATAATGCGAGATCTATGGAGCTATAACCTTAACCAAAATAGTATATACTAAAATCTTTATTATGCAATTTTTTCCTGCATTTATATATTTTATAGTAAACAAATCCTTATCACGATAGTGTCATACTATATTTATACATTGACGTCACATCATAACTATAACAACCGTTATACATCATGATGTTTAGGATTCATCCCCCATATCGCTTTCCGCTCTTGTCATACCAAACTTGTCCAGCACTTGACAATAGAAACATACGCAAACTAATTCCACATGCATCTAGTAAAATCAAATGTATTGTTAGCATACCTCAATACCCTTGGTACTATAGCATTGGAGCAAACTGAGAACATTTTTCATCGAACACACTTATATGAAACACTTAAAACACTTGACTTAAGATCAAACCCATAGAGCAAAATGTTCATATGTCTTCGTTATACCAAAACCATTTTCTGTGCATGCATGTGAAATACTAATATCATATCATTCAAGTATACGTGCACATGCACGTATATTTCGTTTAGTGTTCAAAGCCACATTACTTGTCCACATCGTACTTATAATTAAACATTCGTTCCACGCCATACAGAAGTATATTATACACATAAAAGGCTTGTGCCACAATTGAGATATGCTTCATTGAGTACCATTACCAAAAGTCCCACATCACATATATCAACACGATGGAAAGTGAGCAATGAATAACTTTTAAAGATATTATTTTGATTTCAACATATTGAGCATGTTTGGGAGCTACTTATGTTCTTTCTCATTGTCACGTGAAAAATCAATGGACGTGGTTATGCAATGAAGTGCTCAAAAATATTTACTCACATTCGAGATTGCACGCTTTACACGCTCGTGACAGATTATAAGTATGATTGAAAAGTATTTATAAATAATTTAAATTATAAATAGATAGAAATAAGTGGTCGACAATTTAATAATATTTGTAAATTCTTGAAATATTGAAATAATTAAATAGTGATTTCAATATTTATAAACAGAAGCCAAACATATGCAATGTCTTAATTTTCGTGTTAGGTGTACAAAGCCTCATCTCCTCTTAGGAAAGTAATTGAACTCAAAAAACTTTTTCCTCTCATCTAGTTCCGGGTTGGCATAGATTAAAATTAGATTTTTATTATATTTTAGTAAAAATTAATGAAATGTATGATTAGAAAGCTATGGATTCAATAGTTATGTGATTAAAATTAATTAATTATTTTAATTTGAGATCTTAATTTATTTTAATTCGTATTTGGAATCCATTTTAATGTATTTTTGGAGAAAATGTATTTTGAAATAGTGATTTTTAAGAATGTGTGATTAAAAAGGATAAAAAAAATTTAAATTTATGTCAAATATTATTTTATTAAAAAAAATGTGTGAATAAAAAGTGGAGAAAGATTAATGTATTAAAATTATAATGAATCTAATCAATTTAAGAGGGCCACGATAAATGAAATGGTGAAGAAAAAGATACAAAAGATTATCACTGTCAGCAGTCGTTTGACTCGTGTCAACACCATGAACCCAACTAAAGACGTGTCAATCCAAGCCTCAGCTTCGTGTACTTCCACGTAGGCTTGTACAACCGTTTGCTCTCCGAACCTCAATAAACAAACAAAAAACCCACGATAATAGAAAATCAATCAGCAGTTTCCTTCTCCATCTATCCCAAAAAACTCAACAAGAATCAAAGGCATTTTCTCGATTTTTCCCATCTGCCGTTTAATTTCACTTGAAGTCACTCTCTTTCCGCAATTTTGGATTCTGCCTCCATTGAAGAACTTCCTGAAATCATTTATAACCCCTGATTCTATAGCATTCATTTAAAACAAAATGAGTTGCCTGTTGAAGAAAAATAAGAACTACTGGTTTGTATTTCTATTCCATTTGATTTTGCTTTTTAGATTCAGTTTTTTCACACATGCAATTTTGGACCCAATTGATTTCTTGGCCCTGCAATCGATTCGAAAGAGCTTGGATGATTTGCCCGGGTCGAATTACTTCGCTTCATGGGATTTCACTTCGGAGCCGTGCAGTTTTGCGGGTGTGTATTGTGATGGAGATAAAGTGGTTGCCTTAAATCTCGGTGATTCTCGAGCTGGGTCACCGGGTATAACTGGCCGGATAGACCCAGCGATCGGAAAATTATCGGGTCTCGCAGAGTTAACCATAGTCCCTGGTCGGGTCAATGGGTCTCTGCCTCGAACCCTTTTTCAGTTGAAGAACCTCAGGTTTCTTGCGATCAGCAGGAACATGATTTCCGGCGAGATTCCGGCGACTCTGGTCCAGCTCCCTAGACTCCAAACTCTAGATCTTTGCTTCAATCAGATCACTGGAAGCATTCCCTCGTCCATCGGAACTCTACCGACGTTGTCCAATGTTATTCTCTCTCACAACCGTCTCTCCGGTTCGGTTCCGCCGTTTGTTTCTCACTCCCTAACCCGGCTAGACCTTAAGAACAACAATCTATCCGGTTTGCTCTCTCCGATCTCACTCCCTCCCTCACTCCAATATCTCTCACTGTCGTCAAACCGACTAGCCGGTCCAGTGGACCGACTATTATCCCGTCTAAACCGGCTAAACTTTCTCGACCTTAGCGTGAACCAATTCTCTGGCTTTATTCCGGGCAATATATTTACATTTCCAATCACCAGCCTCCAACTACAAAGAAACCAATTTTCCGGTCCGGTTCAACCACTTGATGAGGTGACAATCACCAGCGTTGATCTAAGCTTCAACCGGCTTTTTGGCCAAATATCTCCCAGGCTCTCAACGGTTCAGAATTTGTATCTGAATAATAACCGGTTCACAGGCCTTGTTCCCAGCAACTTCGTGGAACGGTTATTAGCAGGCAGTATACAAACACTGTATTTGCAGCATAATTTTTTGACCGGGATAGAAATTAATCCAACGGTTGAGATTCCTCTTAGCAGTTCGTTGTGTCTACAGTATAATTGTATGGTCCCGCCCGTAGATACGCCTTGCCCGGTGAACGCTGGGACCCAGAAAACAAGGCCCACTACACAATGCATAGGGTGGGAAGGGTAAAATGAGGAATTCCTGTTTTGCAACGGGGACAGAATGGGAAATGTATAATACGATAAGTGGGTTTTTGTACGAAATACCTTTTAAATTTGTATTCGTTTATTTGATTCATAGTTAGAAATCAGATTGCAAATCTATTTTATTGTTTTGTAGAGTGATTAGTAGAATCAAAATCGTGTACGAAATTCATTAGTGTAAATTTGTATTGAATTAAACATTACATAATTTAACCTTCTAGATTTTTTTTGAGTTGTACATCAAAAGATATATTCGAAATATTATACAGAATCCTAATCTTGAAGTATTGGACAATATAACAATTATTATAACTTTTTTAAAGAGGTGGGGAGAGAGAGAGAGTCAAAGGCAAATGAAAGTGCCAGCCGATATCGACTGTTCAAGTAAGTCACACCATATGTAATATTTGTGAAGGCTGCTACACAAGGGTCTGTCACAAACCACACCTTGATTTAAAATTTCAAATTTCAAATCACACCTTAGCTCCTATTTGGGAAGCAAATTCAATATTTGCACTCACTTTTACTTATTTATTCATGTATTTTCCCTATTTAAATTAATTTATTAAAGTTCTTAATTAAGGATATTTTATGGATAACTTATTTGTGCATTTAGCTCTAATTCTACCCCATGAAATAATGACTAATTTATGCATGTAGTTCTAATTCTACCCTCTAAATGGTCTTTTTCTCAATAGAATACATACATTGAGTATTGACTCTCTCCTTTTTTTTTTTTTTTTTTTAATGACGGGGAACCCGCAGCCTCTACCCTTTGAGTGCACATTGGGTAAACTCTCGGGGTTGACGCAATAACCTACAAATCAAGCTAGCCAGATAAACCGCACTAGACAAGCCTGTGTGATTAGCCTTCCGCGCTCACCTACTCCACTAACTCGACCATCTCATGAGAGGCTTGACTCTCTCATTCTTTCGCTTTTTATTGTCTTATTCTAGTTTTATTACACATCAACACGAGGTTCTAGCCAATTGAGTTAGGAAGAGTGATTCTTTTCAATCTGTTCAAAGAGAGACCTTTCTAATTCTCATAATGATGAGATAGCTAGTGTTTCTAGCCAATCTGGCTACTGCCTCTGTTTTGCATTACATCTAGATCTTATCCTCCCTATTGCCTGGACTTGTCTGAATCCATGCCCGATACTCATCCAATATGGCTCAGGCTGAATTTAGGTGTGACCATGCATCACAGATCTATAGAGACTTCGAGCTTCATAACCTTTTAATAGAATGGTACTTCTTGATTGAATAGTACTAAAATTAACAACCACACCAATTTCTACCTATTTGAATTTCCAATAGGAGTTAAGCAACACTAATTATTTCAGAAAATAGGAATTATTTTCAAAATTAGAAACGTGAACTTTGGATGCGTGGAAACACACAAATATGAACTCAGGAAGCTGGAGGCTCTTGTTTTGTACTTGGTGTTATAACGGACAAGATTTTATGAAGCGAAGATATCGATCATGACTACTGGCGTTTCTGTTTCTCTGTCCATATATCATATGATTTGCTGATAATTTCGATTATAGTATGTTAAATTTTTAGTTTCGTACAATTATTTCTTACAACATTCACGAATTCATCTACTGATCAGAATATGTATAATAGGTTCATTAATTTATCGATTGTTATGCAAAACTGGCTGCACAACTTACGCTGAACCTCAAAGTTAAATCTGCTAATTTGATGACAATGGTGAATTTTTTTGGAGAGCTCCCATTCTACTTGTTGCCCGTTGACTGGAGTTTATGCTGATTTCAGAGTAACAGAATCTATCCTGGAAGACATCAAGCTTGGAGTCAAAATGGTATGTTTCATGTGTCGTATAGAAACCTCATTTATAGGGTTCAGAGTGACAAGTGTGGATTATATTCAATAAATAACAATCTGAAGATGTCTTAGTGCATTCACTCCATGGTGTAGATTTATTTTCAGGATTACAGAAACTATGACTTGTTGAAGATATCTTGTTGGCCTACATTTGTGCATGTGGGGATGGATTCAGGTGGCAAGCTAATTTAAGGTGGGAAATTTGCTAACTTTTCACCTCTTTCCTTCCCCCCTTTTATGAGAGTAATAGAGATGTTTTCATGGTGATGCCAACTGTAGAAAAATAATACGACTTGCTGATGAATCGATCTTACACAAACTCAGAATTTCCTATTGATAGCATATTCGATTATTATGATGTAGATGAATTCAAATGTGTCCATGATTATTAAGATGATCGTGATCCATTATGGTTTCTGAAGATTCATCGGTTAGGGGATCTGAAATTTGAGTAGATTTTAATATGCATTAGCATACTAAAGTAAGCTGATAAATATTTAGGAAACCAAAGAAACCGGAAGTTTTGTCGTGTTAGAAGTTGTTAACAAGGATCTTATGCTCATAACTAAAATATAGGAAAGTACCCCCAACGAAATATTTTGTTTGCTGTGAATTTTACCTTTGCCACCCCCACTCCACCCCACCCAACAAATCAAGTTTTTAAAGTTTTCCTTAGCCCTTTTGTCTATTGAGCTGCATTCTGAGAATACATTTTCTTTCATTTTCATGGCTATGACTGTGACTCTCTATGTGGTTACCTACAGTTGACATCACTTTGTAACAAATTCAGGTCCAAATTTCTCTACTTGAAATGGAAAATCTGAAGTAATTGCTGGGTTGTGCTTCCCATTACAAGAAATTTAGTTTCTTCACTGGTTCCTAGTAGACTAGGATGTTCATATTTGTTTAATCTTAGGCAGGTAACTGCTAATTTTTCTTTATATTCCAATTCGAGCAGGATATGGAACTGTAGCATATAAAATTTAAAACTTATTTAGACGAAAATCTTGTTTTTAAACAGAAATCTATATCTTTAATGATTGTGATTTTGAATACATTATTCTGTTTTGTTAAGGTGGCTGGTCATTGTGATGATCTGAGTGTTGTATGTAAAGTACCCTGAATCATTTTACTTTGAGTAGACAAAAATGGTCAACCAATTTGAGGTATGGTCGACAATGAAAACAATGATTAAATGCTATGTATCTCAACTTCAAATAACCCTCTATCAAAGACAAAGTAATCAAGAATTAATCAAATCAACGTCAAAGATGGAGAGATCCAATGTTTGGACTCATTTCTAATCATTATTTCCCAAGATTGTGATTTATTCTGGTGGGTGGGGCATTTTAACTTAAGGATGACAATGGGAAAAGGGTAAACAAGATTATGAAAAGGGGTTGTTTTATATCGGAATAGAATAAATCGATGCAAGTACTATTTTGCGCGTTTAGCTTGTAAAGACTTTTGATTTGAATTCAGCTTTTAAAATTTTAGGTTTAGGGTTCTAGTATCGAGGTTTTTATAATATGCGGGCATGAATTCAAAGATTGCACTTTGCAAGGCAGTGCGATCTTTCACCAAAGGTTATATAGTTCCATTCAATTTATCATACAAATTTTCTTAAAAGATGTTTAGGAATGATTGTCCTTGTCAAATAGTACTAATGTATAATTGTCTATTTTAAGATATGAAATCCTTCGTTTAAATGATACAATTCTATCAAAATGATAAATTTCTTTTTGTAACATGTCTCTATTTGTATATAGAGGTGCAAAACGAGTTAACTATATGCTCGGGACAACCTCAGATGTAGTTATATTAGCGAGTCTCATCCTATTTTACACCCTTCTTTGTATATTAGTGTATGTAATCAGATTTATTTAATGATCGTTTAGTTAAGAGTGATTTTCGACAAAATCAAGAGCAATAATTGAGGAGGAATATACATATCTGGTGTTGCAAAACTTGCTAGTGCTTTGTTCATCTTAAAATGACTGTATAAAAGTATAATACATAAGTAGAATATGATTATAATTAATTATTGGTCGTATCATAAAGTTTTTAAGAAGCAAGCAAACACCAATTAGCTAGTGACATTCAAAACAAACAAAAAGAACAGTTAAAAAAATGTGAAATGACAACTTTCTTGGAGCTATCAAAATCCAAATGAATTGCTTCATAAAATGGTGTTAACCCTATTATTACCTTTGGTATAAAGTACGACACTATCGAGAAAGAAAAGAAGTTAGAAATATTTTAGATACATATTAATGCATAATATATCATTCTCTTGATGATACTTCTTCTGCAATTAGGTTATTTTTGACAGGTTTATTATCTATAGTCAATAAAAGATGCAAAAGCTTACTTAAGATAATCATAAAAAAAATGTTTAATCATCTTTTTTTAACTTCTATTTAAAATCATGACAATTAAACTCACATGACGACATCAAGATATTGATTACTCATGACGAATATTTTTCCATAATACGGTAGACTACAATAATTTTATAAAAGGTGATGGCATGAAGATACACATTAAAGTCAATCAAGACTTTGCAAAGTTACGAATTTATTCATTATATATGGATTACACTTATAAGGAGTGAAAATAAGCGAAGAGATATCATATGCAAAAGTTTTGTTGAGCATAAAGATCACGGGCACGCTAACTAGATTCCATCTTCACCTCCCTCCAACTTATGAACAATTTGCCTAGGGCTTCAAATTCAACGATGACAAGCACAACAAACAAGGACAAGTTTGGTCATACTTTTGAAATGTCAAAAGCTACTTTTGAAGCTAATAAATTGTTCTTGAACATATTTGAATAATTTTTTCGAAGTACTTTATCCAGCTAAAACAGCTTTCAAATGATACAAGAAGTAGAAGTCCTGCCAAAAAAACCGTAAGTAGTGCTCTTTTGTGGGCAACTCAAATTTTATTACAAATATAAATTGCAACAAAAATCACATGATCGCCATCTAGGATAAATCTAACAACAAATTATCCACCTTTCAGCAAAAGAATTTTTGCATCAACCTTCCATTCTTATTTTCTTGGAAGAATCAACAAATATAAATAGCATCATTATTCATCACCACAGAAAAAATAGCAAACTAGATATACAGAAGTACAAATACATACAGCCCAAAAATAGACGCCCTTATCTTTTCAGCTCAATACCAGATAAGTTTGGATGTTCAATAAATAAACACCATCACAAAATAAGCCAAAAAATAAAGTAGTTTCCGGATAAACGATGAGATATCATATATTTCTAGATCTTGTGTAAAAAACAATATGATAACAGTATTAACTATTAACAACTCCTCTGCCAGATGTTAAGGAAGTATGAAAGTAAGTACTTTCTGCCAAATGCACAAGGATAAGTTACTATTCTGCAGTACCAAAATAAGTAATTTTCCAATATGGAAAGTGTTGCTTGACCTCAATGATCTTGGGATGGAGATGATTCGTGTAAGAAGCAATATCTCAGAAAAGACGAGTTAAAAACAAAAATAACTCTATACAGCATATAAGATTACACACCTGCTAAAAGTTGGGAAAAAATTAACCCCCCGAGTAAAATATTGAGATTCTGTAATGTATACATAGCTGCATGTAATTGAAGTTGATGTAAATATGTATTAACTGTTAGGATGGATGAAGCTTTTGATCTCGTCCACGAGGCAATGGAAATGCTCGTTATTTGGCAAGAAGTAGAATCCGATTGTTGCCTTTTCAAGATATAGGAGCTTTACTTCGTGTCCAGATTTCTTGAGCCCTTCAACGTAATCCAATTGCCAATCTTTAACAAGATCAAACCCAGCTACAACAACTAGGCTTTTTGGAAAATTAAGTCCCTCAATGCTTTTACTCCTCGGGCCGAATATGTTACAGGCAGGATGGTCTCTATCTTCTCCTTCTGGTAAGAAGGCTCTCCAGTACCAATCCCTATCTTGAATCGTTACAAAGTATTTCCTGTCCAATCTTTTCTCTGACTCCTTCCTCTCTTGCCCACCAAACATTGGATGAAGGAGAATATTACCCAATACTTCGACACCCTCTTCAGCAGCCCGTGCAGCAACATGGTGCGCTATATTCCCACCTGAGCTATCACCTGCCAAATATACGTGAACTTTCGACTCCTTCCCACTCCTTAGCCACGATTTCGAGTGGACCCACTTAAGAGCTGCCCATCCATCATCGTAGGCACATGGGTATCGATGTTCAGGTGATCGGCGATAATTCACAGATACAACAGCAGCCTTGCATATGTTGACAAGTCGACGACAAACTGTATCATAAATAGCACTATTGGCTGACGAATGAGTAAAGCTCCCCCCATGGAAGAACAGTATTACAGGAACAATTTCACATGTGTTCAATGGCTTTTCAACTTCTACAATCCCCCGTTGAGCCCCATTCTCAAGGGAAGACAAGTAAACCCGGTTGAAAAGGTTCTTGGTGGGATCTACAATATCAAAAGAGTAAACCCCGTCGATAGGATTCGCATTTGCTGTGACTTTTCGATCAAGAAACTCAGCTAAATCACGGTTAAATGTGCCATCTGGACGGCGAAGCATGTTGTAAGCAAGCTTGAAATTGGATATTAGAATCCATGTATTCAGTGGAACCACACTCTGCAAAAGAGTGTTTCAAACTCTAGATACATGTTTGTATTCAGTGGAACCACACTCTGCAAAAGAGTGTTTCAAACTCTAGATACATGTCACATAAACAAGGTGAAAAAACCAAAAACTGAGCGAAGAAATTGATAAGAATTAAGACGTGTATCTGACCTCAGTACTATCGAAACAGTAGAACTAATAACAGTAAAAGAAAAAAAATCTGAAAACAATGCATAGAAGGAAACCAAATCAGAACAAATTAAAAAAATAAAATAAAAGGAATAAAAACAAATAAAGATGACCACAAAGGCGAAGGTAAATATTCGAATTTTCAGCACAAATCAGACCTTTTTTCTCAACAAATCACAACTTTCACCAGCAAAAATCTCAAACCCACAAGATTAATTAGCCAAAAACATGGAAGTACAAACATATTCGAGTGATTACCTTCGATTCACTAATTTTTACTTCATTACTGCCAGCCATCAGGAGTAATTTCAAGAACCGAACTTCTAAATCCTTAAAGCGTTACACTGATCTCTCTTGAACAACCTCTGTTTGAATACTATTCATAGCGCTCCAAGAACTTTCTGGGCTCTATTTACCATAGAAATATGTGGGCTACGGAACAAAAATCATAAAAGATAGGGAGGAAAATGTGTACGTACTTGAATTAAAGATAAAGAGACGAAGCTTGAGGAGGCGGTGCGGAAATTCCTAAAATAGATAAGAATTTAGAGAGAGAGATGGGAGAATAGAGTCAAAGGCAAGTGAAAGAGACGACAAAAGGAAAGGCCGATATCGACTGTTCAGGTAGGCCCCCACCCTATGTAATATTTACACACCCCTTTTATTATTATTATTATTATTATTATTATTATTATTATTAGTATTATTATTATTTTATTTTTTATATCCAAGTATCCCAACTTATACTAGACTAAATCCTGAACCTCCAAAATCGTTACCCCTAGAATCTTGGAGGGGGTAAATCGCGGGTTATGCCTCAACTGGATCACAGGTTCCTCCCACCGCCTGTACACTTCTGCGCACAAGAGATCCTTCTCCAAAGTGATTGCTCCATACCAAATAAATCTGGCCACAGATTCCCACCAGGATTCAAACCTCCACCCTGTCACTGGAAGCAAGACAATGTTGATTGATCCACCAGTTGAGCTGTGTCTCGGGGGGCTTTTACACATCCCTTTTATTTATTTATTATGCGTGGATTTTTCGAAATTTATTTATCATGTGTTGATTTTTTAGGTTTTTGCAAATAAAGATATTGAATTTTAGTTAAGAAAATCTAAAATTAATTAAATTATACTTTGTTCATTCTTGATTGAGTTGTGTAAGTATTTTAGCAACCATCTTGATAAGAGGTTATGACTCGTCTTGTTAAATTATCTTATTCTTTAATTTTTCTTTAAATTTTGTAGAATCGAATGAAAATACATTTTACATGCCGTCCACATGAAAATGATGCAAGTTAGAAGTTTGCTATGGTAGGAACCTTGTTCAACTCTATTAATACATATAAGTAATTATCAAAGCATGGACATTCCCTATTACTAAATGTACGGCTTAAACCATTCCATTTCGATGACCCCCCAGCTCGACCTTTAAACCTCATTGATCTCGTTATGAGCCCAAGAACGGTCTCAAGGCCGAACCTCGAGTATGATATTGTCGAAGTATTTGAAATGATTTTCAAGATGATATAGTCATGACAAAACTATATTGTCAGAGTTCAAGTACGTTTCAGAATAGAAGTCTCAACTCCCACTTCAAACTAATTCACCTGAATATGCTAGGACACGACACTAGGGCTAATTAAAGTCATGTTTGAGCCACATTTTTTCAAAAAGATATATTTTTAAACAGTGATTTGACATCATTTCAACTACATATTTTTCAATAAAATAATATCACACGCAAATCCAAAACTTATATTTATTTTTAACCACACATTTTTCATCAATACCCTATTCAAAAATTCGTTTTAAGGAAAATATTGTGACTCAAACAAGGGTCAAGAGTCTTATTACTTCCACATATTCAATTCGATCTCGCAAGTGTTGTATTTCTCTTCGAACTACACCATAAGGCACTATAAATATATGGCTCGAGTTCATTATTCATATGTGCTTCAATCGTTTAGTTTATAACCTTACACATTCTCTCAAAGTTTGTTAACTTAAACATTTAGGACATGTTTGAGTCACAGTATTCCAAAAAAATGTATTCTAAAATAGTGATTTGACATCATTTCAATCACACATTCTTCAATAAAATAATATTACACGCAAATCAAAAAAAATTCCTTATTTTTTAACTACACATTTCTTATCAATACACTATTCAAGAATGCATTATTACCAAAATAATGTGGCTCAAACATCCTCTTAATGAATCGTCTCATATTATCAGGTTTGTGCAATCGCGTTTGCAATTTTTATAGCATCAATATTAATGGAACAAGAACTGAAATTGGAATATTTATTAAAAGCTTTTTCAAATGTGAGTTTTTTTCCTTCATCTATATTCTACTTATATAGATGTAAACAATTACTAATTTAGTTGTAATTTCAACTAAATAATTTAATGATATTAAAAGAAAATATTAGGAGGTAAGTTTTTAAATAAATATTTTTTTAATTGGTGAACGTTAAAACAATTAAGTAATTTATTTTGATAATAAGATAATCCTTTGAAAAAAAATGTTAAAAATACTAAAAAAAAAATTATTTCAAGTAAATTTACTCGACCAAACATGCTCAAGTAAAGTAGGTGTAGTTATATATCACAAAAAATGGAATAATTAATTCTTAAAAAAAGTCGAGGAACACGACGTACGAATATGCCAACCTTGCATATTATTTAATCTTAATTAATTATACATTTTAATGATGTTTTGAGGTCACAGGAGACATGCATAATTTCATGGACTTCATTAGTAGTACAGTCGGGATTAACACATCTCTCACATGAGAGGGGGCCCACAATTATTTTATTACATGTGGACCCCCATCTTGTGAGGGTGTTGTCATTCAAGATTGACATCCCAAATGTACAAATAGCAAAGTTATACTTACATAGTCCCGTTTGGGCTCCATTTATTTCAAATTATAATGAAATGAATAATAATTTTTTGAAGAATGTGTAATTAAAAAAGAATGAAATTTTTTTAGATTTACGTGTAATGTTATTTTATTGAAAAATAAATAAATTTTAATTTGGTGGGGGTGGGGGAGGGGGGGGAACAGGGGTATAATTATGTTATTACATCCGAATGACATGTATTCTATGAAAGAATTGATTGCATAATGACAAGAATCTCTCTTCTCGGAATCCTATTCTTGTCTTGTTCATTTATATAATGTGTTATTTGGAAGAGCATGCGTCAATCTTGTCCCTCATGAATTGTTCTAAGTCTCTAATTATTTGATGCTATGCTCCGTTCGGTGCACATTATTTGAGAAAATAATACATTTTTTTTATCAAATCAGTCTACAATATTTGACTTCAACACTCTAAGGTAGGACCCATGATGTGATGTTTAAAATACATTTTTGTTGAAAAAATGTGGAACAAACAGCATAGTCCTTTAAACATACTTAAAGTTTAATACTGATACCAATTGGATAAAGGGCCAAATCTAGTATGGTCGGGATACTGTATCCGACTTCTTAAGGGGGTGTTTGAGCCACATTATTTTGGTAATAATGCATTCTTGAATAGTGTATTGATGGAAAATGTGTAGTTAAAAAATAAGAAAAAGTTTTTTATCTGCGTGTAATATTATTTTATTGAAAAATGTATGGTTGAAATGATATCAAATCACTGTTTAAGAATGTATTTTTTTGAAATAATGTGGCTCAAACACGCCCTAAACAATTTTTTTCTCTTTTTCCAAATTACATATTCCATGGCCGTCTTATTGATACTAGAGAGGCAAAATACAATTTACCACTTCGGCTATAATGTTCATGTCATTTATTTTCGTATGGAAAATAAAACAAAGAGACAACAGAGGTCCATGCAGTCAACTATTTCAGAATAGAATCCCTTCCTCCAAACTTTGTTTGTAGTTAATTTAGATTTAGCCAACTTGGATTTGCCTAAAACAAAAATAATTTCATAAAAAAAGTGATTAAATTGTTATAAAGTAATGTCAAGTTGCCTAAACATGATACATTATGATATTTGAAAGGTTAGTGTCGAATATAAAGTTGGCTAAGCATGTGCCACCCGCACACCATACCAAACATATTGCCTTTGCGTGTTCCACTTCCTCCACTCCTATAGTATTTTATATAATGCAATTTGATTTACCTTGGGAAATTTTAAAGTGAATAGATTAAGGCCTCTTTCGGCCGATTCCATTTATTAGGGCCCGTTTGGTAGGGATTTTGAGAATTGATTTTTTGACCGTTAGAAGAAAAGTGGGGTCCACATGTGAGAGAAGAAGTCAAAAATTACGGCTTGAATAGTAAAATAAAGGTCAAAAAATCCCTACCAAACGGGGCCTTAATTAGAAAAACGAAATAATGGTTTTACCTTTTATAATACGAATCGGATCTTCTTGTAAAAACAACACGGGTTTCAAATAATCTTGCTAGCTGTTATATATTTGTCTAAGAGTGTCTAGGTGAACACTCTAAAGAAGCCAAGTGTATACGCAAACTCAAAATGTGCTAAAAGCACTCATAAGTAATTGAAATGCATAATGCGAGCGAATTTACTTAAACCAAAACATAAGAATTACGTTGGTGAATAAAACATGGGCAGATAACAGAATCAATAAGAAGTCAGTCAACTAACGACCACCATATGTTACTAACTAAAAAGATTCATTTACCCTCGAGACCTTAATAGAAATCTATAAATAGAAGTGTCTCGAAATGAAAAATGTTATGCTGAATTTTGAAAAGCTTCCTACCAAATAATCATTTTTCTTTTTGCTCCTTATTGAGTAATATGATATTGAGTTTAAGAAGGAAAAATCTTGATTAGGTGAGTATCTTCTTAGAGGTCAACAATTGCGAACACAACATTAGAGTTATTCAGGTGATCTAATGAATTCTTGTTATTTAAAATTCAAATAATGATCTGGATAACTTTTGTCTAGTAATTACTATTGAATCATTTTAATAAAAGCTTAATACTGTCCTCCAGCGTAACATTGACATACATTTCCATTATGTGCCTATGGAAGAAAAAATCGATTTTTTTGCAATAATAGAATTCAATACTTCTCAACTCTTTCTTGTATCATCTCCCTTGAATAAAATTTTGTGTCACGTTACATTGCATTAGACATGCTGGTCTTGATTGGAAATCATCCATCGTCCATTATTAACAATGCCATATATGCATCCTACGAGAGAAATATTTTGTCCGTATTTTCTTTGCTCTGCCGATATTTGTTTTGATATGCTGTTTACTCTATTACAATTTGTAGTGGATGATCGGATGTAGCATGAATTAATATTGCAAAATTTACTAGAATTTCGATGTAAAGTTCAAGATGTACAAAAAGTAGTCCTTAAAGTTTAATAATTGTCAATATAATTGTAGTGTCATTACTTGCCAAGGTAAGGTGGATCTTGCTGTTTTTTCTTTGGGTGGTGAATATGATGGGCACAACGTGCGACATTTTCTTTGTTTAATGTAAATAGATATAGATGAATTGGTCGTATTCCTCGTTTCCTTCTAACAAAATTTTTTGGCTAATTAAATTAATTTATATGG